TGTGTGAGAGACTTCTGTTTCAGTGCAAACCCTCCCCAGCAGCAGAGGGAAGCCAGTGGAGAGAAGCCCTGGAAAGGAGCTGTGGACAGGGCCTCGTTTGTGATCAGGTGCAGCTTCTACTTATCTTGGGTGCATTCACCCAATAAGGAGGTTGGGGAAGACTTCCTAGCCATCTCAGAGCTTCTCGAACACCAGGCCCCTCTCGACACTGAGGAGCCACACAGTGGCAGTGAGATTTCACAGGAATTTCTCAGTGGAGAAAGTCTGCACCAGTGGGATGAATGTGACAAAGCTGCCGGCCACACCCAGAAAGTTGTTCCTCAGAGTGTCTGCTCCGGAGAAGTGAATTATGAGTGTAACAAATGTGGGAAAGTTTACAGACGAATCTCTAACCTCATTCGGCATAGGAGAGTTCACACTGGAAAAAAACCCTTTGAGTGTACGGATTGTGGGAAGGCCTTCAATCAAAGGTCTTACTTTACTAGACACCTCCGAGTTCACAGTGGAGAAACGCCCTATGAGTGTAGTGATTGTGGGAAGTCATTTAGACAGATCTCTACCCTCAGTCGGCACTATAGAATTCACACTGGAGAAAAGCCTTTTGAATGTAGTGATTGTGGGAAATCATTTAGACAGAGCTCTACCCTCATTCGACACAAGACAGTTCACACTGGTGAGAAACCCTTTGAGATAGAACCCATGTATTATGTGCAAAACACTTTAGCAATCGGATTTCCCCTGTCATGACAGTCAACACTCAGTTCCTCAGCATTTCTGTCTTTGCAGGTTGTTGGCATGAAACAGATGATGATGAGGCCTGTCCTGAGCAGACTCAACACCAGAGAGTTCACACTGGTGAGAAACCTTATAAGTGTAGTGAATGTGGGACGTCATTCAGGTTCTTATCTACTCTCACACATCACCAGAGGGTTCACAGTGGAGAAAAGCTCCATGAGTGTACTGATTGTGGGAAGTTTTTTAGAGAAAGTTTTTCCCTCATTCGACACCACAGAGTTCACACTGGAGAAAAGCCTTACGAGTGCAGTGATTGTGGGAAGTCATTTAGACAAAGCTCCACCCTTATTCAACACCAGAGAGTTCACACTGGAGAAAGGCCATATCAATGTAGTGATTGTGGGAAGTCATTCGGGCATAGCAGTTCACTTACTCAACACCAGAGAGTTCACACTGGTGAGAAACCTTTTGAGTGTCGAGAATGTGGGAAGTCATTCAGGTACTTAACTGCGTTCACACATCACCAGAGAGTTCACACTGGAGAAAAGCCATGAGTGTCCTGATTGTGGGAAGTCCTTAAGGCAAAGGTGTACCCTCACTCAACACCAGAGAGTTCACACTGGAGAAAAACCTTTTGAGTGTAATGTATGTTGGAAATCTTTTCGGCACAAGAGAGGTCACACTGGTGAAAAACCTTTTGAACCTAGGGATTGTGGGAAATCTTTCCATCAAACCTCTGCCCTCATTCGACCCCACAGAGTTCACTCTGGAGAAAAGCCTTAAGTGTGCAGGCAATGTTTCATCTTCCCCATTCCCCAGCCTCCTGGCCCGCTGCAAGGACACTGAAGGAGAGACTGACCCATTTACCTGAATATAATCCCCTTTTATTTATTTTTTAAAATATATTTTTATTGATTTTTAGAGAGAGAGGGAGAGAGAGCTAGAAACATCAATGATGAGAATCATTGGCTGCCTCCTGTACGCCTCCCAACTGGGGATTGAGCCTGCAAGCAGGGCACCCTGGCACGTGTCCTGACGGGAATCAAGCCAGCGACCTTTTGGTTCCTGGATCAACGCTCAACCACTGAGCCACGCCCGCCGGGCTATAATCGTCTTTTAAAGGAACATACACTCTGCTAGGTTCCTCAAAAGTTTGTGGTACAAGGGAGGCTTTAAGGAGCTGCATTGCACTTGCTAATGTGCTGAGACCTACCTCATTGATGTCACTGCGAGTATTTGTGGCTGAAGTGACCTCCTCTACCACCTGGCTCACCTGCACAGTGTGCACCTGTCACCACCCCTGTGCGCTCAGGGGAAAGGAATTCTGTGTTCTCCCTTGTGCTTAAGTGAATTATGAATACTCTGAGCTCTTGGCAGGATCCTCAATCCTTACTCTCTGACCAGGAAATGCACCTGACCCAGGTTTCATCCAGAGCCCCCATCCTCAGCTAAGAAGAGCTACCTATTTCAAGGACAGTGTGGGTCTTGCATTTCGTTGTGATGAATTGTTTCAGGTTCTACTTCACCAACCTGCACACCGCTTGCTCTGGTTTGTGATGTTTTTGCTTTTGTACCTTCAATTTTGTTGATCCTATTCACTGCCTGGGATGATTTGCAAGCACAGTCGTGACCTGTCGGCATGGAGAGTTACCAGATCTTGTGGGGATCCCAAATTGTGTGCTTCTGAAGGGACAGCAGAAAAATCACTCTTTGTCCAATATTGGCTGATTTTGCATTAGTGTCCAACACCTTGAAATAAAGACCACTTGACTTTGTGGTTCTATTTTGCAGGTTTGATCCCCAGCACCACATTGTGGCTGGTGCAGGAGACACCCAGCCATTGTTTCTCTCTCATCCCCCTCCCACTCTCTCGAAAAAAGGACCATCCACCTTGCTTCGCTGAGATGGGCCTCTGCCTGTACAGCCCACCTTTCCTTATTGTCTCCTGCCTTTGCCCGGGATGTTCCCCCTGCAGCTGGGCACGCTGTGTCCTGCCCAGGAGCTGGCAGAGAGGAGCCCGAGGCAGGTCCCTGGGAGGGATTGGGGTTTTGTGTCCGCCTGAGAGGAGCTTCCAGAGCTCTGCTGTCTCCATCCAGAGGCCTCTCCAGCCTGCTCTCCCCTGCCCCTCTGCAACTGAACTTCCTTCTGCATCCAGGAGAAGCCCCCTGATGCTTTGGGCCCCAAATCAGTTCACCTTTTGGAAGTCCAGCCTCTGGCCAGTCCACACCCCTGAGGCCCACTGGTGGTCTTTGAGTCTCTGTTTTTGAATTGGGGTAATTTTCCACTTTGATGTTATTAAAAACTAGAGGCCTGGTGCATGAATTTGTGCACAGGTGGGTCCGGCCGGCCCGCCCCAATCAGGGCCAGTTGGAGCTGGCCAGCAAGGGAGAGGGAAGGTGGGAAATTGGCCGACTGGCCCCGCCCCATCGAGCCAGTGGGCCAGATGCAGTGCACGTCATAGTGACTGGTCGTTCCAGTCGTTCCAGTTGTTGGTCATTCTGGTCGCTTGGTTTATATATATATAGGTCCCTTCCCCCATGCCCCAGCAGGGCCCCTCCCAGTCCACATCTTGAGGACCATTTTTAGAGGGAAGTGGGCCATGGCCCAGCATAGCTACATACAGCTGTCCCCTGCCCTCAAACGCCCCAGCAGCAAAATGCAAGGAGTGAAGCAAAGAAGAGACAGTGAGTCACCGACACATAGAGACGTTAGCCCATCACAGGCTTCAGAAAACAAGTGCAGGGCACCCCCGTCTGCTTCACAGTGTGACCTGACACTCGGTGATGGATGGCTTGCTTAAGCTATGCTCAGCCATCTCAGCCATTTGTTTTTATTTCCCCTGCATGATAACAATATTATGAAATCTGACACACAGAAACCAAAACAGAGGCAAGCCCACAGTTCCAGGTTCCATTGGGCACTAGGCTCAACTCTGATGGGAAAAGGAGAAGAAGAATAAGGGATGGAAAGCAGTTTCAGCAGCAAAGAACCCGTCATCTCTGATATCGATTTAGATAGAAAAAGAACAGAAACAATTCATGACCAAAAAGAAGCTGAAGTCTGCAAGGCTCAGGGGAGCCAAGTTTCCTAAGGGCAGAGAGAACCCCTTGGCTTGGCTCCCTAGGAAAGTGATGGTGAACCTTTTGAGCTCGGCGTGTCAGCATTTTGCAAAACCCTAACTTAACTCTGGTGCCGTGTCACATATAGAAATTTTTTGATATTTGCAACCATAGTAAAACAAAGACTTATATTTTTGATATTTATTTTATATATTTAAATGCCATTGAACAAAGAAAAATCAACCAAAAAAATGAGTTCGTGTGTCACCTCTGACACGCGTGTCATAGGTTCACCATCACTGGGATAGAGCCCCAGGCTGCCTTCGGAAGGGCTGCTGTGCCGTATGTTCAGCAGAATCCGTGCTCAGAGGGTAACATACAGCGCTGAATGCAAATAAAGAGTCCATTGGCATAAACGTTTGTGCTTATTTATGTATCTGTAGTCCTAGCCGGTTTGGCTCAGCAGATAGAGCATCAGCCTGTGGACTGAAGGGTCCCATGTTCGATTCCAGGTCAGGGCACATGCCTGGGTTTCGGGCTTGATCCCCAGTGTGGGCGTGCAGGAGGCAGCCAATCAATGATTCTCATCATTGATGTTTCTTTTTTTAAAATATTTTTAACGATTTCAGAGAGGAAGGGAGGAGAGAGATAGAAATATCAATGATGAGAGAGAATCACTGATTGGCTGCCTCCTAATGAGGATCAAGCCCACAACCCGGGCATGGGCCCTTGACTGGAATCAAACCTATGACCCTTCAGTCTACAGGCCAACGCTCTATTCACTGAGCCAAAACAGCTAGGGCTCATTATTATGTTTCTCTCTCTTCCTCTTTGAAATAAATAAAAAAAATATTTTTAAAATAGTGTATCTGTAAGGTACTTCAGTATACTCACCACAAGGACAGTTCTCCAGAGGAAAATGACAAATACAGAAATTTACAAGGACAGTAATGATGGTAAGCTTCCACAGAATTGCAAAAAATTCTGGCCAAAGGTCACAATAATAGGGCAGGATATGTAATAGATGGGATAATATTTGAGAGGATGGGGAGCCTTAGACATGTACAACACATCTGTCTTAAGAAATCATCTTTAGAAACCCGACATCAGCCTCCATGTGCTCTCCAGGGGATTTTCTGCTTTAGGAAAGACTGCAAGTTGACTTACTCATACTTTCTGTGTTGCCGGCAGTGATTTATACATTCTCTACGTAAAGCGTAGTTTCCAGTTCACCATGAGCTGTACTCACTCCAGTGGCTAAAGCTACCGTATGTTGGAATCCCTCAGAATCACCTTCTTACATGGGAAAGTTAAATTTTTGTTGTTGTTAATCGTCTCTCCAGGATATTTTTCAATGGATTTTTAGGGAGAGTCGGAGAGAGAGAGGGAAAGACAGAGAGAAACATCAATGTGAGAGAAACCCATCGATTGGCTGCCTCCTGTACAAGCCGCAGCCAGGGTCCGGGCCTGGGAGGAGACTGCAACCAAGGTACATGCTCTTGACTGGAATCAAACCCGGTACCCTTTGGTCCACAGGCTGATCCTCTATCGATTGAGCCAAACTGGCTAGGGCTCCCATGGGCAAGTTAATTTTTATCACTCAAAGATGAACCTAAGTTTTTTTAAAAAAACACAGATGACTATGCATAAACCATCAGATTTTAGTGCTTAAATATAAGCAAGAAGAGGATCATGACACTGTCACTGATAGTGTGGGATTTTGCTGAGATCCATGATACTGATTTTCTTAGCCTCTTAGGTGTAAGAAAAGAGACTTCCATTGAGTTCAGATGATTCTGCTTACTGTTCTATAGAGAGAGCTCTGGATTCAACAGTATGTTCTGAAAAGTTAACTCCTTAATACCTTTTTAATTCTCATCTGAGGATATGTTTATTGATTTTAGAGAGAGGAAAGTAGACACAGAGAACAAAAGAGAAACATTGATGTGAGAG